ATTATTTTGCTGAACTCACACACCTACAATATTTAAATGACAATGGAATTCCCTTCTCTGACAAAACTAAACAAAAAAGGGGATAGAAATGAAGGACCATTTTGTATCTGTATGTTCAAAATAAGATAGATATACAGCTACTTTCTCTTAATTCAGTGAATAGAAAGATTTGTTCTAATACTGTTTGTGGACAGGATATCATGTCTGCATCTTGTACAATGAATAACCACAATATGCAACAATATGCAATGTATTAATTATTGAAACTGTCCTATTAATTGGTTTTGAAACTGTCTCATTGCTATTCGTTTCTCAATAAAATTACTATTTAAAAAAATCTCTTTGAAACTTAAAACAAAGATGGTGGTGAAAGCACAGTCTTTGGTAAAGGACCTTCCACCACTTCTAATTAAGATTCTTTTCATTTACTGAAGAATTACTTGTAGCCAGCTAAGACTAGACACATCAGTCTAAACATCCAGTCATTTGTCCTTTATTCAGCAACTATTTACTGAATACCAACTGTGTGTTAGGCACCCTCTTAGCTGTCTAAGAAATCTCAATAAACAAAACAGACAAAAACAAGAACAACAACAAAAACACTTAACCTCCTGGAACTTCCATTTTAATAAGAGGAGATATTTCAAACAAAATAAGCTAATTATATAACATTACATAATTTGTTTTCTCAAAGTGAAAATAAGGGGGAAAGGATTAAAGATTAAAGAGATTATAGACATTAAAGAGACAGAGGGTGTGAAAATTTGGACCAGAAAGTTCTTGAGGAAAAGATGACACTGAGCGGGGAGTGGTGGCACCCACCTGTAATCCCAGCACTCTAGAGGCTGAGGCACAAAGACCACCGGCAAAGTCAGCCCCCCACCCCCTGGGTACACAGCAAGTTTAAGGCCAGCATGGAACACATAATGAGACCCTGTCTTAAAACACCAAAACAAACAAAAAATGGTGAAAAGTTGACAATGGAGCAAAGACTATAAAAAAAGTCAGAGTGAGCCATGACAGTACTTTGGAAAGAAAATCCCAAGCCAAAAGAAGTAAATGCAAAACTCTGAGGGAGGAATATGTTTCTGGGAGGAGGATGCGGGTTGTCTACTAGGTGACAATGCGAGCCAAGTGGAGAGCAGCAGAAAGCAGAGGCAGATTACTCATACAGCGTAAAGACAGCAGATTTTCTATGGTGTTGCTGGAATTTTTAAGTACTTTGATTTACTGGATAAAATGGGAAAACACAGAGGAAGGTCAAGTTCTGCTTTATGCATGAAAGATCAGGCTGGCTGTGCCAAGCTATGCTAAATGAAGGCCAGCCAAGGAGACTATTTTAATTACTCTGGCTAGATGATGGTGGTTTAATATCAAGGTGATATAGACTAAAATACATATTCTAAGTATACTTAAAGGTAGAATTCTTCAAATAAGGCAGGTAAAGATGTCCAAGATTTGTGCTGGGAACGTAATCCCAGTGCAGCAGTGTTAAGGGGACCTTTATGCAGTGATCAGGTCATGAGACTGCATTCATGAGCAGATCAGTAATTACGGAAATGGGGTCATTATCTCAAGAGCATGCCCAAAGACCCCACCAGGTGCAGGACTCAGTATTGGATTTTGCAGAATCATGAGCTGATAAATTTCTATTTAGTATACATTAAGTCTGTGGGGTTATCATAGCAGCACAAAACAGATGAAGGCATGAGGGGATTTATGGATACATTGAGTAAAAAATATTGTTTAATGTGTTGTTTCAAAAAAAGTTAACTAACATGATAAAGATTTTACCCTGAGTCTTTCCAAGAATGGTGCTCCTACTAAAGGTCATAACTGAAGCGTGCTTTGGGGTATAAGAATTGATACACAGTTCTTAACTGGACATGTTCAAGTTAAGATGAATTAAATGCTAGATGCTTTAGAGGTAGTGTGGATAAAAAGGGAGACATATATCCATGTATTTATATGGGATACCTGTTTAATAAACTACTTTGGCCCTCTAAAGCATGACATCAACACATGGAACTGGACAAAAGTTGTGGATAGTGAGAAGGTCCAAAGGGTTTTACCCTTTGGGAGGGATGCTCCACCATGAAGAGGACAGTGATACCAAGGGGACCAGGAAAAGAATCTATTAGAAAAGCAAAGACAGAAGGAAAACCCAATAGCATGCTGGTCACTGAACCCAAGGGAAAATGCTTTGTAATGAGAAACTGTCAAATGGACTTAAACTTAGAAACTTGGAGGTCACTGATGACTTTAACGGAACCATTTTTAATGAAATTATAGGGATCAAGCCTGGAGTGGATTAATAAATTTAAAATAAGGGAAGCATGAATTTTTGCTTTACTGCTTTTTAAAGCACATACTGGAAGTATTTGTAAATTCTGAAGATTCTTTTAACTTTTCAAATCAAAACATTAAACCAGCATCTATATTCAAAGACGTTTGCCTGGGGAACCTCACTAATTTAAAACTAAAACAGTCTATTTTATAATTAACAAAGAAATAAGTACATGAAAAGCTCAATTCCAAATAAACCTATTTTAAAGGGGTAGGGAATATAACTTTTTTGGCAGCATTTTAATCTGATGCATTCCTAAGTGACAATTTACTATTATCATTGTAGTTCCTTAAATAGTATTTATAAAATAATGTATTTTATGCCAAGATACTGAATAGTTTTAGGTACATGTACAAAGTCCCCATAAGGATGTTATTACATACAAATATTTACTGATAAAAAATAAAAATTGAAAAAACATTAGAAAATGCTATTATTAATAAACTTATGCTATACTTGAAGCTGCTTAATGGTTTTTGACTGCTTTATTAATGAAGGCCACTGTACATATTACTTCTTTGAGGGTTAGAGACCAGGATCACTACTAAACATGCTAAAATGCCCAGCGCACTAATGGAGGGGTGAAAACAGCCCATATTGGCAAAGCTATGAGATCTGTTCTAGAGATTGAAATTATGTAACAGATATGGGAGCTAGAGTTCAGTAATTGAAACTTACTGTACACAGTTAACATCCAGATTACCTGGGCTCAGTATCCATTTGCCTCCAGTGATTTCTAGTAATGTTTCCTTAACTACGTATCTTCGAATACGAAGATAACAGGTGTGATTACCATCCTATAGAGTATATACTGTTAATACCAAAATTATCTAAGTTCAAGTTTTCAGTGTGATAACTGTCAAACACAAACCTATGTGAAAGCTCAATATAGGATAATCTTTTTTTTTTTTTTTTACAGAACCAGGGATTGAACTCAGGCCCTTGTGCTTGCCAGGGAAGCGCTTATTCCACTGAGCCATCTCCCAGCCCTAGGATAGTTAATCTTTGATTGCACGAACTAAAATGGTTTGCTTACTGGGTCATTTGCCTTGGCCAAAGGGTCTGAGCTGTGTAACAAGTAACTGAAAGACAGTCACTTAGTATTTTTCCAATCAAACTCCAACTCCACAGGCCATTTCAAAAGAGAACTGTCCTAAGTTTCCCCTACCTTAAAATTGCTATGTATCTACTTCGTGGACTTTGAAAACCTGCCAAGACAGAGCACCCGAAATTCAAGATCTCTGGGCCACTAGCAGCAGTGTTAGCAGTAATGGGCTCAGATTTCAACTATAATTTTGGTACTATCAATTAATAACCCCGAAACCTTTCAGCAAAGACAATGGCAAGGTAAAAACCATTGTGAATTCTACACATACTTTGATATCAGCCAATAAAAGAAACCTAAACTTTCCATTTTTAGCAGTGTCACGGAGGCTTTAACATTCCTCCTAATGTCAATGTGTAATTTCCAGGTCCAATTCTTAAAAATATGTGTGTGAAGTTACCAAAGGCCTATGCAAAGTGAAAGCTTTAGTAAAGCAGCTTAAAGTTTTGCTTGTAAGTTATATCAATACCAAGAAATTTTTAAAAACTTATTTAAACTGTAATAATTTACTTTCTATGTATAACCTAAAGATTGGGAGATTTTCAGCATTAAACAGTGACACATATTAAGTTTCAGAGATTTATTAATCTGTGCAATAAACTCCAACAAATAAACATGATTTCATGCATTTAAACAAGAAGCATTTCCTGGTTCAATGGAAAATTGTGCGGATGGCTTCTGAAAGACCTTCATTTTAAGCAGCTTTATAGTGAAACATTTCACTTAAAAGTCGGGACCTTCTTTCTTCAGTTTGCTGTAATCCATATTCACAGTGAAGAACTTGGAAAAGAAAAATGGTATTTTAGACATCAAATAAAGAGAGATGGCATAGCAGTTTCAGAATTAGTTCTATTCAGTTTTCTATAGTAATAATTACAAAATGAATTTTTATTATGAATATTTAACAATACAAAAATCATTCTAAGATATTGTAGCTTAGATTTCAGTCCTGTAGTAAGGATTTTTTTACAGCAAAAACATTCAATCTATGACAAAACAGTATTAATCTTTTAGTTAAAAGTCTATAAAAATCCTATTTCAACATGAATAATTAAGAATTCCTTCTGATATAAACTGCTACCTCTTAATTCTACAAGCTTTTATGTTACCCTTAGTAAATACACTGGAGAGTCTCCAACAGAATAGAGCAGAACTGAGAACTGCCTTCCTACGTAAGTGCTATAATTGTGATGGGAAAGAGCCTGCAACTAGGAGAGGCTAGGAATAAAAATAATACTCTGTGGCTTATGTAAGTTTTCAGACACAAATTGGGTTTACTCCAGCAAACTATTCTGTCTCTCTCAGAGGTTTCCTTAATTTCCTAATCAAGGTTGTACCAATATCAACCTGGTAACCACTTCTGGTGGCACCTTTTAAATAACGCAGCATTTTTGCATCTTGTAAGTTTCCAAGTATTTGCTTATATTCAGTTAATACTAAAAATCAGTTTTACTGATTGCTTTTAAAAATAAAAGCTTGTCTCTAATGCCCAATAACTTTTAAAAAGATGTTTTATACTTGAAATCGGTCCAGGTTTTCTACTAAAAAAAAGAAATCAAGATCTGCACATAGGCCCATATAAGGCTATAATCTCAGACTGGTTCTATTTTGTGCCAAAGGACACTGAAGAGGTTGTGCTCTAAGACATTTATTGCCAAAAGAAACAAAACTCCATCTTCTTCAGACATTCTACTAAAAAAAAGTGCAGGGCTACGGGGACAGCACTGGCCTAGCATGTGCAAGGTCCTGGGTGTGAACTTCAACTCTGTGGAAAACAATTCACAGATCTGCGTCCACTGTGTCTTCCAATGTCATTTCTTCAAATACACTCTAACATCTTTTTTTTCTGATTCAAAAAGTATTATTTTACTTGACTTTTTGCAAAAGAAAACCTTCATTACCAAGTTATCCTTGAGATGCACACACAAAAACATAGAGTCTTATATACAAAAAATTATGATTAAACCACAAAGTCATTTCCTTGTTCTGGAAGTTTTAAGGAATAAGCTAGACATTAAAATTTCAAAAAGAAACTATGCTATCTTCTAACATGTTAAAATATTAGAAAGAGTGCTTACAGAAAGATCTGCATGGGTACATTAAAAAGAAAAAGCATTTGTAGAGCTCTCCTAACAGACGCCAGGCACTGGCCTTTATCCCTTATGTGTATCTTGGTCACCCCAACTTTTCTTATTCTTACTTTATACAAAAGGAAATTGAAAATCAAGTCATATGACTTGTCAAATAATAAATATGAAACTGACATAAAGTAGAAAGCTTGTAATATCTTGGCTAGTTTCCTCAAAACTAAACAGGCTGACTTGCTTCAAACTCAAAATTCTCTCCCGAAGTACTGTAATTTTCAAATCTGATTTATATCCATGCCTCTACCACCTGCCAACTGGTGGCTACTTGAGGAGATCTGAAGTAACTATCTCTGTCTTAGCTTTGGGACCTTTACTGAACAAGTACTGGGGGCATGTTCATGCTCAAATTGTACTACACATAGTGCTATCTTGCTGCTTGTGTCACCTTTTGCAACCTGGCAACAAGCAGCTCTGGCATGAACTGATTATTCACGTCTTCCTGAAATTCATGTTGCAATCTTAATCCCCAACAAGACAATGGTATTTGGAAAACTGGACCTTGAGAGCTAATTGGGTCATAATGGTAGAGCCTGCAGGACTAGATTAGCACCTTTACAAGGAAGAATGAGAAGGCTTCTTCTGCTCTCTTCTCAATCTGAAGACAAGTAAGGCAGAAGACCCATCAAGAATTGGTTGATCCTGGACTACAGAACTGTGAGAATCCAACTTCTCCTGTTTATGCCACTGAGTCTATGATATCTTGTTCTAGCCATCTCATATCTTAGTGGTTTACAACAATAAAGTTTTATTTTTCATTTACATATCTTGTTCATAAATTAACTGCTCCATGTTCTCTTCATTCCAATCCCATGCTGGTAAATAGCCCTTACCCAAAATTCTGTTCTCACGAGATGGAAAAGAACAGAGAAGCACATAATGGTTCAAAAGCTGCAAATGTCATTTTGTCAGTGGGCCACAAAAACAAATTCTCTTAGACGACAATGAATAACAAAGACATTAATTCAGCTGACTTCATTGTTTGTGTTCAGAAGCAGTTAAGTACACTTACTCACTCCAGGTTTCCATTTCTCTAGATGTATTTCCTTTTCCTTTCCATCTTACCATTGTTAATATCTGTGCTATAGCCACTCCCAGCTTAGTCTGTCACGTGCACTAGGCTTTATGGCAACAGCACTCTGTTGTTAGTTCATGTGGCCTCATATTGGCATTATTATTCCATTCAACAGCATTGATAACTTGCTTCACTAACAGAATCATTTAGTAAACTTTCCAACTACACATACAAAGAAGCTCCATGTGCTCTTTGGTAGAAGGATCATCACCTATTTCTTTTTTGTTTGCTTGCTTTCAGATATAGGAGGCTCTGGCTCTGAAGTCCAGATTGGCCTTGAACTCACTATGTAACCCAGGCTGGCCTTGAACTCATGGGGATCCCCCTCCCTCCCAAGTGCTGTACCAACATGTCCAACCTTTGTGTCTTTTTTTTTTTTTGGCACAACCGGGGATTGAACTCAGGCCCTTGCACTTGCCAGGGAAGCGCTTATTCTACTGAGCCATCTCCCCAGCCCCAGTGTCTTCTTTTTTGATGTTTCTTAGATGTAGAAATATTTTTTTCTAAAATGAACTTCACATAACATTTGTAGGACAGAAAAATACATCACAAGGACATTTAGTATTTTTGAAAATAAAATGTTAACACGTAGAGCAAATGGTCATCCTAAAAGTTGCTGTCATCAGTATATTAAGTCCCCAAGTTACAAACAGCTAAGTTGCAAACTTCCAGATACATTTCCTCTTTTATGCTTTACATTGTACATTTTATGTCAAAAGCGCATATGACTCACTCTGTTAAGTTTCAACTGACTTTAATTTCTTACTATTAATCATCTAACCGTACTAATAAGAAAAAACTGCCAACCAAAACATCCTACAGCTTAGTGTTACTCCAATGAAAACTCTCAGCTGTACATTCACCAGTGTAACCAGAATCTCTGAGTAGAGCTGAAGAATGCATTTTAACAAATTCTATGTACAAAAAGTCTGAGAAAAATTAAGGTTACCTAAGAATAAAATAATAGCTGAAAACTGTCCTATCTCTTCTTTTAGTGTCTTAATAAAACCTGACATTAAGATAATTAAGACATGAACTTAATTTTATAACTTGAGCCTAAAGACTGGAAGCAAAACTCATAGGAAAAAGTATTTAGCAGAACAGTAAACTATTTGAATTTCAGAGAACAATCTAAGAACTCTTTGAAGTTCTAATAGAATTTTACAAATCAACAAAACTGAATAAACAATTTCAAAAAAAACCATTCCATGTCCAAATATATTACAATATACACTCCAGAAATCTAGATGTTTGTATCTTACCTTGTATTGATCATTGGGACCCAGTTTGTTCCAGGGTTCTGGGTTATTCTTCCTGTCCCAACTAAATGAAAGAAAACATTGTATTTGTTATAATGAGAAAATGCTACTAGAATAATGTTTTGTACATCTCAAGAAGCTAATATCTTAAATAGATCTATGTCATTTTCTATTAGGGGATATTACTTTCATTATGGAATTAAAACAATCTATAAAGCAACTCCATGTAGTCAATTTAAAAAAAAAAAAAAAGAACAAAGCCTCTTGAAGAAGTTGCCCTTGGCTCTATCTTCTTTACAGAATTTACACATGGCTTTTACTAAGTTCAATTCTCAATTAACAATGGATATATAAAAGTGTACTGAATAATGCTGAATCAGTATTTTGTCTATTTTAAAACTTCAAAAAAATTACCTATTGTAGAAATTAGACAATATTTCTGCAAGCTAGGAACTATAAGTATTGCACAAAAAAACCTATCCCAATTCTATAACCATTTGAAGATTTGGTATTAACAATTCAACTTTCCAGTAAGAAAATAAAACTCAGAAATTTAATCATTTCATGAACCGGGAAAAGTGAATCACAACAGTAAGGGGTCTGAACTTACTATATGGCTGCAGAAGTCAAGTTCTAATACTGCACTTGACTTTACCAGCACTAGAAAAACTGAGGCTCCTAAAACCAGCTTGACAAACTATTAGAGGTTAAGTATTTGGAAGTACTTACCTGACATCTGGATTGAACAATGCCAGACGTGTCAAATACAGTGCTGCTCCAGTACCTCCTGCTCCAATAAACACGAAAAGGGGGATCAACTAGAAAGAAACACAATAGGTAATTATGTTTGGCTCTAATGAAACATAAAATAGACAAGAATTAAGCCACGAGTGATGGCCCATGCCTGCAATCCCAGCACTCTAACAGGCCAAAATATGAAGATTATCAGTTCAAACCCAGCACCACCCATTTGTGACTTGCCAAAAACACAACTTGTGATCCTGTCCAAAAAAAAAAACAAGGCTAAGGATGTAGCTCAGTGGGAAGGCCCTAAGTTCTATCTTGAGTAACACCCAAAACTAAATATACAAAAGAAAAACCATCTTCAAATTTCTTGCTCTTGAGAGGTTGCAGTATTTTCTATACAATAATTTCCAAATTTCAAAACTACAGTTTGCAAATTTGTCTTAAAATTTAACAGAAAGCAGCTGAGCATGCTGGCACTGGTCTTCCAGGCTGAGGCTGGAAGATCGATTAAAGACTGAGGCCAGCCTAAACTACAGAGTGAGATCCTGCCTCAAAAAGATAAACAGATAATTAAGTACCATAGATGGAGTTAAGATTACTTT